TCAATTGCTTGAAGTGTCTCTTTTTAACATTCTTGCTGACTGAATCATTTTATTGCTGTAATACCAGAGTCTGCGTGAAAAAATCCTCTCAAGAACGCTTTGCACTGAAAATTCTGCTTGATCGTCCAAAAGCTAGAAATGAGGTATAGTTCCTGTTTGTTCTGCCTGCCTCCTGAAACCCCACAGAGTCTCTCCCTTTTTGGTGGATTTTTTTATTTTAGAAAAATGTGTTCTGCAGATCTTGCTGTGGAGGATCCCTTGGGTTTGATCCTTCAGCCTTGCTGTGCTCGGTCCCTGGAGGGTGAAGTGGTGGGTGAAGCAGAGGGTCTTTCTGAGTTGGCTGTAGGTGTGCAGGTGTAAAGTACAGAGCTGTGTTTTAAAGCTCATGTTCTCCTTCTGTCCAGGGAATGGGACATGACTAATTTAGAACTGGTTTTGTTTCCATACATCTCTCTCTTGGATGTCACCACTCAGAGAATTGCCAAGAATGCTTTGAGTTGCTCTTTAAACGGGTTTATCCTCGTACGAGAAAGTAAATCTGCTCCTTGAGACTGTTTGTGACTTGTGATTGGAAAGGATGGGCTGTGGCTCAAGGCATCCTGACAGTGAAAGAAGAGTTAATTGTCCTCAAGGTTTATGCAACTTTCCTGTTACTAAGCAAATTCTCATTTAAAATTCCCATGGAAAAAGAATCTCTTTACAAAGAACATCAAGTCTTGACTTGATTTAGCAGTCCAGGTAGCTTTAAACTGGGGAAAGTTCCTTAGGTGCCTGTTTCAGAAAGTTGGAACAGGAGAGGTTTCACATGTTGGGAGTGCTACATCATCATAAAATAAGCCAGATTATGGAATGTCAGGCTTTATTAATAAATTTTCAGTTTCAGTTGTATCTCTATTGCTATTTTAAAGCTAATTCTAGCTTTAAATTTGTTTTAAAAACCCAAATAAATAAGAGGTTGGGTTTTTCTGGTTCTCTGCTGGGTTTGATTTCATGGTCTGTGATAAATAAGTTGGAGAAGGCTGCAGGGAGACCTCATAGTATATGAAGGGCTCCAGGAAAGCTGAGGAGGGACTTTTTACCAAGGTCTTGTAGAGAGAGGACAAAGGGGAGAGCGCTAAACCTGGAAGAGAAGAGATTGGAAATTCTTCACTGTGAGGGTGGTGAGACACTGATCCAGGTTGCCCAGAGAAGCTGTGGCTGCCCCATCCCTGGACGTGTTCAAGGGCAGGTTGGATGGGGCTTGGAGCAACCTGGTCTGGTGGGAGGTGTCCCTGCCCATGCAGAGGGTTGGAACTAGATGATTTTTAAGGTCCCTTCCAACCCAAACCATTGTAAGATTCTATGAAATACGTTGTCAACATGTGATCTTTGTGTCCTGCCTAGTCCAGGTAGCTGTTGGTCACTCCTGTAAATGCTTGTAGGCACTCGATATTTTTTAGCTAGTTCTAAGTTGGGTGTGACTGAGCAAAGCTGGCAGACATGGGGTGCCATAGTCTTGGGGGCAGAGGGAGGAGCAGGAGTGGCCAAGTGTGTGTCACCATGTAACATTTCCTCCCTTCTTTTCAAGGTACGTCTGCACATGATGTGTGCAACACATCCCAATATTGTTCAGATCATCGAAGTCTATGCTAACAGTGTGCAGTTCCCCCATGAATCCAGCCCAAGGTAAGATTACATAGGGTGATTCATTCTCACAGTTTACTTTCCATGTTTAGGCCAAGGTATAGTGGAGTTTGCTTTTTTTTTTAAATCACAGTGTGGCAAAAATTAATCTTTATAGGGTGTTCCAGATGTGATATTTACACTTTGCACTAAGCAATGCTTGCTTTTTCCCCTGTGAATGACCAGACCTTTGCACATTTAAATGAATTTGCATCCTTCACTACTGGTTTTGAAAACATCTTCATTTCTTAGGTTGTTCATTGATTCAGTCTGTGATACCTGCATTGTCTGAGAGTGAATTATCTGAATTGAATTGTAACCTTTGAGCCTCCTTCTGCTTCCAAAGCCCTGTTAAAGCAGGCTTGGAGCTGTGACTTCTGTTGCTACCTAGAGTCCTAAATGAGATCCTTTTACACAGTGGTGATGCCTGGGAAATTCAGTGCCAGCCTTCATGAACAGAAAAAGGAAGAAGGAATTGTTTCTGAAAAGCCTAGGTTTTATCCTGTGAGCTCTCAAGATGTTGTCCTGCTTAAAATGAACAAAGCAAAACATAAAACTGACTTATTATTTTTCATACATTAGTTGCTTGGGATAAAAACATTGTCTTCTAATTGGATATTAGTTGAGGAAAAAAAAATCAAAGCTGGGAAAATTAAAGACCTGAGACCTGTCTTAGCCTCTGTTGTGTCTGATTCTGCTGTGTGGTGAGAATTAGAAGTTCCTAGGTTGCCCAGGGAAGCTGTGGAACCCCCCTCCCTGGAAGTGTTCAAGGCCAAGTTGGATGGGGTTTGGAGCAACTTGGTCTAGTGGGAGGTGTCCCTGCCCATGCAGGGGAGCTGGAACTAGATGATCTTTAAGGTCCCTTCCAACGAAACCAGTCTATGAAGTTAATTTCTTGAGTATCTAGCAGTCCTGATCTCCACACCTCCAATTTGTTGTTCTTCATAATTATGGCAATAAAACGGTAAATGAAAGCAGTGAGGTACAGTAGAGTAGTCAGACTCAAAAGCATTAAAGATAATTCCTCAACCTTCTCCTTCTAAGTTGCCACGGACATCTTGGTTGACTGGGCAGAAGGACCTGGCTGCAGGGATGGGTGCAGACAGATGTACTCTGTGCTCTCAGCCAGCTCCAGCCTGGGAGCAGTTCAGCCTGTGTCAGGCAAGACTTTACCTGCTGAAGTCTAAATGGCTTCCAGCTCCAAACTGGCTTGCTGGGCAGGTGTGGGTGGAGGTCAGGTGTATCTGTCTGAATGCACCCCTGTAGACCTGTCCATGATGTGTGTTCCAGCTGGATGAGGGAGCCCAGCATGAAGAACAAACTGTAGATTCCTGGCTGATAATCAGCCAGTCAGATTGGGCTGGGAGCCAGAAAACCCTGGAGTTTATATGGTTAAAGGCAATATGACACAACCAAAATAGCTGGGACAACCATAGAAGCAGCAAGTGTGTCTCTCTCTTGGCCTGCAGCAGTAGATGTGAACTATGCCTTATTACCTTAGCAATTCTGTTATTTTTTATTACTTTTCATATAACAAAATGAAATGCTTTTGAACAGGGCTCGGCTCCTAATTGTAATGGAGATGATGGAAGGGGGAGAGCTATTTCACAGAATCAGCCAGCACCGGCACTTTACTGAGAAGCAAGCAAGCCAAGTAACAAAGCAGGCAAGTTAACACCCATGTGTAAGCAAATCCATGAATGATAATGGCTAAAGTATTTAACAATTTCCTGGGGTGGGCGGGGTGGGAAAAAAGGAAGTTAAAATAATCCGCAGTTCTGATCCAATGGTCATTGCCTGCTTTGTTATAACCTGACAATGCTGAAGTTTAAAAGTGGCAAAGAATTTGAAGGTGTGGGCTAGTTCTTCTGGTGTCTCTGCTGTCCTTAGCAATGGTTTTCCTAACCTGGTCTACGGAACACTTCACCAGAGAGAGTTCTCCTGCACGGTCTTCCTGCTGTATTCCTGGCTGTTGTGTTAAAGTGTTGCCTCCAACAGGCCACAGGCTCCTCCCAGGCCTTGCGTGTTTCCCGAGCTCCAGTTTGAGAACCCCTCTTGGCCACGACACAGACTTGGTGTTTCCCTCACATCGGGCAGGGTAGCACACAATAACCTACACGTGTCCTGGGCTGGTGGTTCTCCAGCTGGCTTCTATATTTGGTTTTATGGAAGTGCTACCTATGATGGAAGATAACGAGAGGACTGTACCACTCCAGTGCCTGTTTCCTGTGCTATTTGTTCTGATGTCTTTTTTTCCCCCTCTCTGTTTCTCTAGACAACTCTCTCTAGAATATTGTGTTTTCTTTGGGAATGTGTTTCTTTTTGTTTCTGAGCTAAGTTAACACTCAAGTTCTCTTGTCACAGTGATTTTCAGTCTTCTCAACACTTCAGCCCAGGTTCTGTATTTGGGTAGGATCCTTCAGGAGCCAATAGGAATCATTCCAAATATAGATTGTGTGGCTTGACCTTACTTCTGTTACAGTGATGCTGCTGAAGTATTTATGCTTTGGTGTTCTTCAAGTGAATTGCACTTTGGAACGTACAGTCTGTAGCACTTTCCTGACTGGGTTACAGGTTTCTAAACCCCAGCAGTGTGAGAAGTTGTCTTTGAAAGAGTCAAATAATACATTTCTGTGTAATACCCAATGAGAGGAGTAAATTGCAGGCAGCAACATCCAGAATGATGGAATAAAACTGCCTGAATGTTCACTCCTAAATCAGTAATAAATGTAATAAAATATTAATTGAACTATTGAAGCAAGAGCTCTCTGACTGCTAAACAGAATGTAATTGCTGGAGAGCGTGCAAGAAAATGTACTGAGTGTGTAGGCCTGGCACAGCAGGTGGAAGGACACTGTCAAGATCTGTTTCACTTCATAATTACTCAAACTAAAGTGGCTGGGAAGCCCAGTACAACTTAGCTTTTCTGTTCTGTTTGCTTGGAGTGAAATGCAAGCTGAGTAGCTGGGTGGGTTTCATTTCCCCATCATCACGGGAGATGCTCTCTCGTGCAGTGTGGCCCAACTTGTCCTAAATCAGATTTGTACTCACGTGTAATGAAAATTCTGGGGTCTAAGCTCTGTTGGCAATGTCCTTTTTAAAGCTAAAATAACTGTCTGGGCTGAAGGAGGAGTTCTGTAATGGTGGTTGATTTCTTGTGCCCTTTTTCAGATAGCTTTGGCTTTGCAGCATTGCCACTCACTGAACATTGCACATCGAGACCTCAAGCCTGAGAATCTCCTCTTCAAGGATAACTCTCTGGTAAGATGAAGACTTGCTTTTCTGTGGGTGCTGCTCCATGGCCTTTTTCAGAACAGTTGTAAAATGACATGAATGCAGTGTTTTGGTGGCAAAAATGAATCCCCTGTTTTGGCTGTGTGCTCTTCCATGCTCTGATCTACTCAGAAGACAGGCTGTCTGTGCTGCTGCTGATACATATGGGGCTTTGAAATATGTTCCAATGTGCATTATGGGTCCTTTGACATATCCAGGCTCTTGCCTGTTTCTCTCTTCTCCTGTTTATAACCACCCTGCCTATGCAGTGACACCCCCCCCCACGTGCTTAGAGCTTTCCAAAGCTTGGGAGGGGGCTGCTTTGGACCCAGAGCAGCCTGGAAAAACAAAAGTAATTGTTCCAAAGATCACTTTATAGCCTTTTGTCTGCTTTGTGGAATGGTAAGGGTATAAATACAAAAAAGGAGAACGTGTGGCAAAGGTGAGATGCGTACAAGGTGAGAAATATGTATTGGAAAAAGTGACACAATGAGGTTTTGTAATGAAGTTTCTTCTTGTTTTAGGATGCACCTGTTAAATTGTGTGACTTTGGATTTGCCAAAGTAGACCAAGGTGACTTGATGACACCACAGTTCACTCCATATTATGTTGCACCTCAGGTAACAACCAGTTACAGTTCTAGGCTCAAGGGACAGTGTGATCTTGATTGCCTGTTCCTCCATAGCCATGACTTTTTTAAAGCCTTTGCTGTCCTATTAAGAACTTCTGGATGCAGGAATCTTAAGTACTTGTACAGCAGCCACCCTTCAAGCTGGAGTGCCCCACTGGGGCTATTGGTTATAGCAGGAGATGGTGAGGCAGATTTCCCAGGCTGTGTTCTTAGCTCTGAGTTACTGCTGGTGTCTCCTGACTCCCCCAGGCCCGACTGCCCCTAGTGACACTACTCCAGGATTTTGACAGTTGGCCTTTAGGTGTGTTAAAGCAGTTTTGGAAGAGTCCCTGCTTCCCAATCCTTCTTCCAGCCCAGGTTCATACAAGATGACATTGAAAAGGACTGTGCTGAAACAAAAAGATTCTGTAAAGGCTCCAAAGGAGGGTAGTGCCAGAGGGTCCCCGTTCACCAAGGCCTGGCCCCTTCTTAATATCCAGTAAGACATAATCTATAATTACAGACAGGCTGGGGTTTGTAGTGCTCCTCTTTTGTGCTTTGTGTTGGAGTCCTGGAGAAAATGAAAACTGCAGCTAGATCTTTAATTGCAGTGCTGGGCACGTCAGCAGCCTTCAGTGCTGCAGCTGAAGGGAGAGCAATTGCAGAGCTCAGCCTGTGCAGTCACAGGCCAGTGCCCTGGAAATGCCTCCTCAGCTGGGCCTGCTGGTGAAGGGGGTTAAAACAACTGAACTACCAAGCCTGCGAGAAACTTTTCCTGAGCATATTTAAATGGAGATTTTATTTCTTTTAAACCCAGAAAAAGAGATTTGATCAGTGAGGGGCAAATTCAATTTGTTTGTAGGAGATGCAAAAAGGGAGGTCTCAGGAGCTGAGGTTACCCTCCAAACAGATCTTAAGTTCTGATTCCAAAGCATGGAGGTGTTAGAGTTTTTGAACAAAATGCTTTAATTCAGGCAAAACCATAATTTTCATCCAAAGCAGCAAAATATTTTAGCTGAATTTTTTGCCTGTAGAAAGTTCCAGTCTTTCTTGGGAAGAATGGTTTGAATTTGGCAGAGTCTTCAGTAGCTGGAGTAAGTCTACCAAGTAGAAAGGCATCAGGCAGCTTTGGTGGAGGCATTGCTGGTTGTGGTGCCTGGGAGTGAGATGTATTTTTCATCATTTCTTTCCTTCCTTTTGTGGCAACAGGTATTGGAGGCACAAAGACGGCATCAGAAAGAAAAATCTGGCATTATCCCCACCTCCCCAACACCTTACACCTACAACAAGGTGAGCTATCAAACAGCCCAGCAGTCACTATCTCTAAAGCACGGTGTCCTCCCCACTGCTCCCAGCTATCTGCTGGAGAATAAGTCTCCAGACAGTTTATCACCTAAGGTAATAGACTTTATTGCCCAAAAATGGCAGCCTTATGGCCAGGAGCAACAGAGATATTCTGATCTCTGTGACAGGAACTCATCTAATTAGCCAAATATTTCACACATATTTGCCAGCCTTACCCATGAAGGTCCCCAGGTGGACCTTGGGAGGAGCTGGGAATCATGTAGAGCTTTTAAGGTCACTACACCACTGCTTGCTGCAAATTGTGCCCCAAAGTGATCATTTCCCTCCTTTCAGAGCTGTGACTTGTGGTCCCTGGGTGTCATTATTTACGTGATGCTGTGTGGATACCCTCCCTTCTACTCCAAGCACCACAGTCGGACAATTCCGAAGGACATGAGGAAAAAGATCATGACAGGAAGTTTTGAGTTCCCGGAGGAAGAGTGGAGCCAGATCTCAGAAATGGCCAAAGACATCGTGAGAAAGTGAGTCAGCTGAGGAGAATGTTGTCTTGCTCTTTGCTTGTATTAAGACATTGGAAAACCCACTTCCAAGGGCATTATCACAAAGGGCTCGTTATTCCAAAGGTGGGGTGGGATTGGCTGCAGCACATCCAGCCGGAAAATATTCTGTCATATTCAGCTTGAATGAAGGCTGGTAAATATTTTTCTTTGCCTCTCTTTTTTTGTTTTCCTTCACAAGTGTTGTGTTCCATTTTTTATGTCTCCTTGTCTCTGAAGTGACCAGAGAGCAGTTGTATATTTGGTTTGTCAGGGGAGCAGGTAACACTGCCTTCCTTCAGAGCAGGGTAGACATTATTTAGACATTAGGAAGAAATTATTTATTGTGAGGGTGGTGAGACCCTAGAACAGGTTGCCCAGAGAAGCTGTGGCTGCCCCATCCCTGGAAGTGTTCAAGGGCAGGTTGGATGAGGCTTGTGGGGCTTGTGCAGCCTGGTCTGGTGGGAGGTGTCCCTGCCCATGCAGGGGGTTGGATCTAGATGATCGTCAAGGTCCCTTACAACCCAAACCATTCCATGACTCTGTGATAACACTTAATGTCTTTGCTTCTATGGACCTGAAAGGATTAAAGCAACATTAATAGAAAAAAAATCAATCTCTTAAACAATTTTAAACTGTCACTGTCACCTCTGACATACTGTAAAATCTTCAAGAACTTAACATTGTTTGGAAGAGGTGCCAGGACCTGTTTATAGCAGTGCAGGAAGGCCCACAACCTTTGACCAAGTAAACCACAGATTGTGTTGCAGTGAAACTTCTGCTTATACCAAGGTCAGCTCTTTTTTTCTCACTCAGAAGCTCCACAGTCAAAAGGTTTCATTGTCTTTGAAAATGACCATGAAACTCAGCTTACAGAATGTTGTTGGATTCAGTTCACTTAATTCTCTTATGACTGTTATTAGGACTCCCTTTCCTGCTTGTCTTTTCCAGCCAGTGAGTCTGAGTCTGTGCTGATGGTGCAGGAATACATTCAGGCTTTATACAATTCTGCATAAATGTACACTTTATTTATGTAGACTGCTCTTCATGTGGAGTCTTGCTTCTGGAGGTCATATTTTGCATTCCAGCAGCTGCTTCCTTTCAAGCATGTCGAGCTGATTTTTGACCTCAAGCTTTTTGAGCTGGAGTGCTTGACAATAGGTGAGGACTTTGGAAACCCTACAGGGAAGGAATGCGTGTGTCTGGGGTCTGGTGTCCAACCTGACCTTACAGCCTGTTGGGCAGCATGGCCTTGCAGGTGAAGTGTGAGCTGGCCTGTGGTCCTGCTGACTTTTTGTAAAAGCTTTTTCCACTTTCTTGGTACATTAAACAATTCTGCTTTGCAGCCAGGAAGCTGATGTAGAGCACTGGCTAAGAAAATGTGACAAACTCACCAAGTCATTCTGTTTCTGATTTAGACTCTTAGCATAACTTGTCAGCACTTGGTGTCAAATTGTACTGGTTTTATTTAAACAGATGTGATTGTCACAGGAAATTAGTTTGTCTGCAAAATCTCTTTCCAGGGTTTCATTCTAGCAAAATCTAATTCCATAGAATAAAGTTCCTTATTATTTTGAGGTGCTATAGGCTGCCCAAGTGTCCATTACTTGAGGCTTTTGCAGGGGCAGAAAAGCTGAGTTGCTTGGTGGAAGAAGTTCACTCAGCAAAGAGGTTTCCTGAAACTTTGCCTTGGTTCACCATGCCCAGAGTCCTGGTATGAGTAGAGACTATCATGTGGATGAGCCCTAAATGTGGATTTTCAGAGAATATCCATCTGGGTTATTTGCAGTTCATCTGGAAGATAATTTCCCCTCTGGAAGGATGTGAATATAGAGTTCAGCAATACACAAGTATTACTAAAATGGTCTTTGGTGTCTTTCTTTTCCACTGAGTTGCTGAATGTAACTGATGAGCTGTGGTAGCATTAAAATATCACCACAGCACAGGTCAGGGAAGCTGGCAGAAAGTCAGACTGCTTTTGTTTCAGCTTCATGTTTTAGTTGTTAGGAGGAGTTTCTTCTTTGGCCCTCTCTAATGCTTAGAGATTGCTAAGTGCTGTGATCCCAGCCAGAGCAGCACGTTTTACAACCCTAAAGACCTTTTTATGGACTGATTGGTTCCTCCCCCAGGCTGCTGAAGGTCAAACCTGAGGAACGTCTGACCATTGAAGGTGTGCTGGACCATCCCTGGCTCAACTCCACCGAAGCACTTGATAACATCCTCCCCTCTGCCCAGCTGATGATGGACAAGGTCTAAATGACATTTTATTTTGTTAGGAATGTTGCATTCTTGACTATGAGAGTGGTCAGACACTGGAACAGGTTGCCCAGAGAAGCTGTGGCTGCCCCATCCCTGGAAGTGTGCAAGGGCAGGTTGGATGGGGCTTGAAGCAACCTGGGCTGGTGGGAGTTGTCCCTGCCCATGCAGGGGGGTTGGATCTAGGTGATCTTCAAGGTCCTTTCCAACCCAAACCATTCTATGATTCTGTGATAGAGGACCTGGGTAGCTCTTTGGTGATTTGAGTGTTTTCTTTCCTGTGGTGTCATGCAGACAAAGAGCTCCTCTTCTGCCTTAGTGAGAGCCTGAGATCTTGGTAAGAAAATGGAAATGATTCAATTTGAAATTGGGGATAGAAGATGCCCCAGGATTGGTGGTAAAGAGCAGCCATGTGCTAACAAGTATTGTAGTAATGATGTCTGAAGACTCTTGTGTAGGTATTTTCTATTTTATACCCATGTTTTACACCTGACTACAGTGAGGACCTTGTTAATTAGCAGCAGATGAATGGCCCTTCTTGCTTCCTTTAAACTCTGCTCAATAGGAGTCCAGTCAGCACTCTGGGGCTTGAGAACATGAGAAGCAGAGATGATCCTTTGTCCTGTTCAGTCCTATGAGGTCAGGATACCTCTCCCCACAGGCAATGGCTGTAGTTCTAAGCAGGTCTTGCTAATGCACACTTGGGGTTTGTTGTTGGTGCATCTCTGAAATAAAAAGGATTTTGGTGCATCTTTTTTCTTGTGTCCGTGGCTAACATTGCCCATGTATTGTTCTTTAATGCCCAAAGAAGCCAATTAAAACATCAAGTGCAATTCTTGTCATTCCAGGCAATGGTTGCAGGGATACAACAGGCTCATGCAGAGCAACTTGCCAACATGAGAATCCAAGACCTCAAAGTCAGCCTGAAACCCCTTCACTCCGTCAACAACCCAATCCTGCGCAAAAGGAAACTGCTGGGGTAACTCTCTGAGTCTGGTTGTGCAAGGTCCCAGTGTAGGCAGCCAGGATGCACAGAGAGTGACTTTAAACATGTTCCAGGTTCATTCAGTGGGAACTGTGCTCCTGGATTTCTGGCTTGTTTGACACACTCTTGATGCTGAAGTGGGTAGTTGGAGTCAGGCAGCACTTGCAGCACTTGAGGTCTTCCAAGATATGGCAGTGAGGGCAGGAAGGAGGTTGAACAGTGTTATATGAGCAGTGGAACAGATCCCTTCTTAGAAGATAGGTCACATGTTGAGTAAGGTAAGGAGAAATGTGAGAAAGAATTCCAGGATTTTTTTTCTAATCTGAGCGTTTATGTACTGAAAAAATCAGGTAATCTCTTTGTTACCTACCTGAAAAAATAGAATGCATTTCAGGATTACCCTTACTTGAATTCATCTAAATTATTTTTCTTCATATTTAAAGTGGTCACATAATGCAGGACATTTTCTAATTAATGCTGAAACCAGCTCCTAGTCCCAGCTTTCCAACAAGAGAGAGAGAGAGCATTACCTGGAGCAGTTATGCCGTGGGTGATGAACTTGAGCTGCATTCCAATTGTCATTGTTTCCTCCTGGTTCTTCTGCAGCACGAAGCCAAAGGATGGTGTTTATATCCATGACCCTGAGAATGGAAGTAACGATTCCAACGTGGCTCTGGAAAAGCTGAGAGATGTGATTGCTCAGTGCATTCTACCACAGGCTGGTAAAGGTTGCTACTTTTTAGAAAGTTTCATTCCTAAATGTGCAAGATGCTGAGTTTTTACTGTGCCTGAAGATTAGTCAGTGTCAGTAGTGAGGGAGGATGGACAAAACCCCTGTCATCCTACTCAGTCCCAAGAGTCCCCTTGTCTTGTGGGCTGTGATTTGGTGTGTGTATGATCCTGGTGTCAGCAGGGATGTGCAGAGCTGTGAAAATAACTTCCAAACAGGAGTGTCTGCTTTCTAACCAATTTCCTAGTTTGTGTGAGACAAGGAGGACTAACTGGACATGCTGTGTGCTGAAGCTCTGAGTGCTGCTGGGAGGCAGAAGGACAAACCTCCTGTTTCTCTCTGTTCTCCTACATAGGAGAGAATGAAGATGAGAAGCTGAATGAAGTGATGCAGGAGGCGTGGAAGTATAACCGGGAGTGTAAGTTGCTGCGAGACACTCTTCAGAGCTTCAGCTGGAATGGTGAGGAGCTCCTTCTCTTTCATGGAGAGTGGTGCTGCTGCTGGGTGTAAGAGGGGAAGCAGTGACCTTCCTGTGTGGAAACAAAACCAAATCTCTGAAATTTGTGTCAGGCTGATCTAGGTTTTGACACTGTTTTAGCCCATCTGCCAGCATAGATGTTCTAGAAATGGCATTGAAGGTTCAGCTTTAAAATGTCTGAGGTTGAGGGTGGAGTGTTCAAAGGCACCAAGTCCTGCAGGAGCATCATTGCACAGATGGACCCTCATTTTAGAAATTGTTCTAGCTGTTGGGAGCTGTTTTCTTCCCAGCTGTCTATTACCTTCTTTCTGCTGAGGGCTGGTGCCCTCTTCTCTGGCAGCACAAGTTTGGACAGGAAGAAGAATTAAAACAGGCCAGCTGCCTCAGGAGTGCTCAGGTGGCTCCTGGACAAAACAGGGGGGCAGAGGTGGCAGCCCCCAGGAGCAGATGTTGGTGCATATAAGGGGACCAGGGTTCCAGGTTCATAGGGGTTTGGCCATGCCTCTCCCTTCATTGTTTTTTGTGTGTTTGGTTTTGATTTAGGTTTCCAAGTGCTCCATTTCTTGCATTGGAACAGATCAGAACTGATACTGATTCCCTTGCAAACATTGTCCTGCATTTCTGTGTGAAGGACTGTTTTGTGTTCAGATTGTTTTCTTCCTTGTGCCCAGCACCACCTGATTACCTGTTCTTTTCCTTTCAGGCAGAGGATTCACAGATAAAGTGGATCGACTAAAACTGGCAGAAATAGTAAAACAAGTCATTGAAGAGCAGACAAACTCCCATGACTCTCAATAGCTGGAGCTTCTTAATCTAATTTTTTTTATCATTTAAGATTTATTCTTTAACTGTAAAAAGTATTTTTATGTAAATTAATAAATCATAATTATTTCATTAAATTTCCATACTGCTTGAAAATGCTGTATAGTTGTAGATATGAAAAAAAAATCATTGGTACTGTAATATTTTTTTAAAACTCAGTTCCTTGAGGTATATATGATCACTTATGTACTGTTAATCATGAGCCCCTTGGATGGGGCAAATTATCTTGTTAAAGACCATTCTTTCCTTAACAACCTGCAGTTGCAGAAGCTGCCTTCCATCTGCTATAGATACAGCCAGCTGCAATGACTGTGTATGTGAACAAGACAGCCACAGTTTCTCCACACCCTGCTCAGTAAGTACTTGAAGCAAGTGCTGTGAGACACAAACTTCAGAGCTACCCTATATGACTAAATTTTGAGTCTTTATGTAGAGGCAACTAAATAACCTCCTGGTTGGCTGGGTTACCCCAGAGGCACACTTGGCCTTGCTGAGGACACCCAAGTCCACCTGCTTGCTGTGTTCTTCAGTTCTGATCAGTAGCCCTCTTTTTTGTCTTCTTCCCCGTCTTCCTCAGACCTTTTTTAAGGCTGAGTTGGCCATTCAGCATAAAACTCCTCATTTTATCATATTGTTCGACAGCAGAATAGAAGAATGTTCTAGTTACTTCTGTTCCAGTTATTTCTATGTTCATGGTGGGATCTTGCACAGTAAGTGTGGGGTTCATTTGCTTCATCCCCAGCCTAGCAGTTGTGTCTGTTCCAGCCATCTACTCCATTCTTTCCTTTCTAGAAGATCCAACACTTAGTTTCCACCTTGTCCTCTTGTTTAAAAGAGCTCACCCTGGCAGGGGTCATAGTGCTGCTGTGTGTATCCACCAGTGATCCCTCTCGTGTGTCACCCTCTGGAGTCCAAGCTCCTCATCTCTTTGATGCCTTCGAGCTCCTCCTGAGGGAGCAACAGATGCAGGGCTGCTCCTTGACACAATGTCCTTATGCTGCCTGGACCATGAGGCTGCCCAGGGCAGATTCTTACACAAGTCTGGAACATTGGCTCCAAAAGCTGCTTTTTTAAATTTTAATTAAACAAACAAATGAAAAAAAAAAATCTGTACATATTTCTAGTTTTCTACCTTCTGATGCTTTTCTTTCTTTCGAGACTGGTTGAAGGCTTTTTATAGAGATATTTTGGTACTAAACCTGTGCAGACATTGAATGGTTTGGTCTGCAGACTGAAGTGCCAATTCAGGGCTATTAGTAATGACTCTTGAACATTACTGGTATATTTCATAGCTCATTAATTTTGGGTTTACGTTTACAAACCTGAGCCATGAGTCTCCCAAGTTACTCTTATGGCAGTCCAGCCTTGTTCTTTTTTGTCTGTTTTCTGTACCAGACTTCCTTGCATCCTACAGCTTGATGGCAAACCAGTGTCTCACTCTTTCTATGGAATTTTGTAAACAGTGACCTAGTTTTTCTACATGGAGATGCTTCATTTCCCCTTCTTCATCAGCACCTGGTCAGCTTCTTTCCAATCCTGTTGGCAGTTTACCAATGCCTGATTTATTGCTCAGTCCCTACTTAGCCATCACTTTCCCTGATGGAAACAGGGAGTTTCTGTGTAAGCTGGAATGGTACTTCTTGACACTACATGGACTATTGTGCACTGACAGGTATCGATGACAAGGGTAGAGATTTAGCCAGAGACAAAAGTATTTGTCATTTCTTGGTAGTATCAGCAAGTTTGCAGGCCCTATTATATGCATTTTTGTCCTTGACCTAAATTCTAGGTCACCATTCACACAATCTCTGCCTGTAATAGATACTTACCTTTTAAACTTGAAATACATGGATTCGTTTGTGTAACTTCTAAGTGTGGCAAATAGAGAAATAAACAACGAAATCACCTTTGTTTGAATGGGGGGGCAAAAAATGCCTCACAAAAGCACTTTGCTCTCTGAGGAGGAAAATCCTCAGGCAGTTTGTTGGGAGACAGAATTTCTTAGCAAGAAAGTGGATCAGATGGTAGCTGCTTTTGTGGGGAGTGCAGAGTGCAGTCAGCAGAGACACCACTGGGCAGCAGCCACACAGGTAGGGTGTGACATGCTGGGACCTGTTTGTTCTTTTTCTTTGATAGGTTCTCTGGTGTTAAAGAGTAGTGAGGGTTGTGTGTTGTGTAATGGGCTGTAGGAAGCAGCTTCAGCCTGGTCCTGCAGTGCCAGTGTGTGAAGGACAGTGGGAGCACCTTGGGCTGGTCCTTGTCATCCAGGCTGCTCAGAAGTGAACAGAGGAGATGGGATCTGTCTGTGCATCAGGGGGTCCCTCCTCTGTTCATCCTCCCTTAACTTGTACCAGAATCATTTCAAGCTGTCACTGGTGGTGAGGTGGGTACATCTGTGAAGTGTTTTGGTGTGTGGAGAGAAGTCAAATTTCTAAGGGCTTTTGTGATATGGATTTACTATAGATTTTATTGTCTGTGAGAAATGAGAACAGCCTGGTCTAAAACAGAGGTAGGGAGGGACAGACTGAGAAAACACAATTGGAAGATACAAGGTCAAATGGTTTTGTTTCTATGAGAAAGTTGATTCTTTTACTCTTTTAAAAAAGTTATGTTTCAAATTTCAATAATACACTCTAATTGATTAATTTAGATATTTTAAAGTAGTGTTTTACTGTCTCCTTCCTGTGTTTTTTTATTTTTCAGTTGACATAAATGCAAGATACCTTGTCTTGATTATATAAGGTTTTGCTTGATAATAAATCTACTGATCCTTTCTAGCAGACTGTGAATATTGTAAATATCGGGAGATGGAAGGGTTGTGTGGGATCAAAGAGGACATTCTTTGTACAAACACTAAGAGGATATGGGAAAGCTCTGTAGGTTTGGCTTATTTTATTTTATTTTATTTTATTTTATTTTATTTTATTTTATTTTATTTTATTTTATTTTATTTTATTTAAAAACCTCTGAAATCATTTGACCTTTCCAAAATGTTATGTATATCTGACTTCTCCTGTGACTTAATTATTTTAAGCTGTCTGTATTAAAAAGTTAGAAGAACTTGAGTAGGCAAAAGAGTTTTTGATTGGAAATAGCAACGTCAATGTTTTGCTGTCATCACTTCAGGTTTTTCTTTTGGAAATCTGAGTCTGTCCTCATGCCATGTTTAACTTCTGTGTATGAAAATGTTTTCATTTTTCCTTTTCAGTGTTATCTGTACTATGTTAGTTTGTTTTGGATCAGTATTATATTGTAAATATTATGCATTGGTGTATATAAATGATTTTACTAAACTTAAAAGTTAGTAGTTGCTTTGTTTTGGTGGTTTTTACCAAGTCCTTGTGGTACAGAAGGGAGGAAGGACAGGGTGCACCTTGGGATGCCCAATACAGGGACTGGAGTTGGACCAGATGATCCTGATGGGTCCCCTCCAACTCAGCATATTCTGATTCTATGACAGTGGTGGCCTGGAGGGCCACCAGGCTTCTGGCGCCCCAAACCTGCCCTGCCACGCTCCATCCTCCATCCCAGCTGCCTTACCAATGTGATACACACTTTGTATCTTGCCGGAAGGCCACAAGGCTCTGAGATGAAAGAATGCCTGCCAGGATGGGCTGGGTAAAGCCCCAGAAGATGGTGTGCTCTGCCTGGCAACACGACCTGAAACCACCGCTTTTAAACCCTGCTTTCCATGAGGTGGCAGCAGCACATGCCCAGTGCTACTGCTGATCCCCCCAGGATTTTCCTTGTAGAAGATACAACTTGTAGCTCTGAGTTGTGTGTGCAGTGACATTTTCCCTGTCAAGTGTTAACAACTACTCTTTTTTGCCAAGCATGTTTGGGGCAGGAACTAGGGACCAGCTGTGAGTGCCCGTGTGCCCCAGGCCACCTTCTTTATAAGGGATACCATCCATCTGCTTGGTAACTTGGAGGAGTTAATGGTGTTGGATAGTGGGGAGTGTCTGAGTACCCTGGGAGTATGTAAGGCAGCTACAACCAGCAGTGGCACAAGGAGGAGGATGTGAGGCCCGAGGGGTGTCTCTCTAGTAAGAAAACTCCCCTCAAAGCAGTGAGTGATGTGCTCAGCTGAGTGAGGAGCCCGGCAGGATATCTGTCAGCACCCTGCACGCCCTGCCCTGCAGCTGAAGGTCCGATTAGCAACCACCTCATTGTTTCCCCGGCAATCTCCTATTGCTTTCCACTTTGGAAGACTTAATCCCCTTTTAAACAAATTGCTGTAGCAGCAGGAGCTCATCAGGCTCTCAGCAAACGGGGTCAGCCCAAGTAGGGAGCAGCTGGCTGGGAGGGATGAGATCGGGTGTATTTAATGAGCTGGTGGCAGGGTTCCATTCTCCCCATGGAATGTTTGTGTTCAGAGGGGGCTGGAGCAACTGCCACTCCGCGGGCCTGTCCATTAGAGCAGCTCTCTCCCAGCTTCCCAGCCTGCTCCAGGGGTCTCCCGGTGCTGCTTTGCTCTGTTGCAGTTGGATAGCAGGCTGGCTCCTGGTGTGTCCTACCTCCCTGATGGGCAGGAAGCAGAGGAAGAGCCCAGAAAAGGCACGTTGGATGAAGAGATGAAGGCAGCTTGTGCCTGAGCAGGGACAAGAGGCCAAACCCTGAGGAATGGTGTTGTGGTGGTGAGAGGGGATCTTTGCTGCTGGGTTAAAGGCAACTTTTCTGAGGTTTCATCATCACCCTTATTTTCCTGGGAAGGCAGTGACCATGGCTCCAACCTGGACACAGTCCTGGTGTGCCCTGAGGGGCAAAGGAGTTCTCTTCAAACTAGGCATCCCCTTCCTGCTCCTGCTGCTCAGCACAGGCTGCAGCCCCCAGCCCTCTTGGCGCTACACAGCCTATGAGATAGTCATTCCAAGGAAACTTGGCCTCAAGGCAGGGAAAGGCAGTCAGGACCAAGTGTCCTATATCATCAGCGGTCAGGAGGTAAATTACACGATTCACCTCAGGCGCAAAGACTTTATAATAAAAAACTTCCCTGTATTTGCTAGTGACTCCCGGGGGAAAATCGCTGTGGAACTGCCCCATATGCCAACAGATTGCTATTACCATGGCTACGTGGAAGGCATCCTGGACTCCATGGTGACCCTGAATACCTGCTCTGGGCTCAGAGGACTGCTTCAGATTGGAAACTCAAGCTACAGCATTGAGCCCCTGGCAGCTTCCACCACTGCTGAGCATCTTCTGTCACAGAGGGAGGAGGTGGTTTCTGAAACAGTGATGTACAAAATGCCCAAGGAAGGTGGACAATTTCCAGCTCCTAGTAAAGCAACGAGGCAGGTCCAGGCCCAGAGAGACACACAGTATTTAGAGCTCCTTGTTGTGGTGGACAAGGAAGGTTTTGATGCCTTTGGCAAAAGTATCACTAATGTGACTCTGGAAGTTATTGAAATAATCAATCTGGTGGATGGCCTGTTCTATTCCTTCCACCTTCGTGTTTTGATAAGCGCAGTAGAGGTTTGGGTGGAGAAGAACCCAATCAGTGTTACTGAAAACATTACTGAGGTTCTTCATAATTTTAATCTTTGGCGGACGCAGCAAAGCTCCGCCTACGATGCGCACGACGTGGGGTGTCTGTTTGCCTCCATGGGCTTTGGTGGTGATAGGAGAGCGCTGCCTATGTGGGGCAAAGCCAACTTTGCCAGTGCTTGTGATCAAGAACGTGCCTCTGCTGTTGTGTCATTTGCAAAACGGCCTTACATGGACACTGCTCTCCATGTTGCACGAGCGCTGGGACATGTCCTTGGCATGAGGCAGAATGACAGATACTGCAGATGTGGAAACACCTCTAAATGCATCATGAGCCCAGATGGCACAGAGAGCTATCAATTCAGCAACTGCAGCAAAAAGCACTATTTGGACTTTATAGCATCAGGGCAAGGATTCTGCCTGAATAACCCCCCAGAAATGGTAAGGATACTTGAACTGGGGTTCTGTGGGAATGGTGTCCTGGAGGAGGGGGAGGAGTGTGACTGTGGCTCAGAAATACAATGTAAACTGGACCGTTGTTGTGACGATACCTGTCATAAAAAAGCAGGAGCCATTTGCTCTTTTGGAGGCTGCTGTAAGAACTGCAAACCTCTTCCAGAAGGGTCAACGTGCAGGGAGACTTCTGGGCTATGTGACCTGCCCGAGTATTGCAATGGTACATCTGAGCTCTGCCCAGCAGACATGGCCAAGCAGGATGGGACTCCGTGTGCTGAGGATGGCTACTGTTACGCAGGCAAATGCCGATCTCGCACATTACAGTGCAGGTTTATCTTTGGCAAGGAAGCAAAGTCTGCTCCTCCATCATGTTCCCTGGAGGTGAACACAAAAGGGGATCGGTTTGGCCACTGCTGGGGAGATGGAGAACGTGTCATGTTTAAGAAGTGTAAGGGAAAAAATGCCATGTGTGGGAGGCTGCAATGTACAAACGTTAGACACGTACCTAAACTGCATGAACTCATAAGCTACATTCAAACCCCGGTGGGAGATACCTGGTGTTGGGGCATCGAGCGCCACTTTGACAGCGAGAGCTGGGATCCTGGAGTCATCGAAGACGGCACGCGGTGTGGTGAGCACATGATATGCTTAAATCGGACATGTGTTGCCATGGAGGAGCACTTGCCGTCCCACTGTTCTCCTGAGAAAACCTGCAGAGGAAGAGGTGTCTGCAACACTGCAGGGAACTGCCACTGTGAGAACGGCTGGGCACCTCCCTTCTGCAACACCTTTGGCTTTGGAGGAAGCATTGACAGTGGGCCTGCACCGGTCACTAAAATGGGGCTTTTCTGGATCATTGTTGGAATTACCATAGTAACTATTTCTGTTTTGGTGCTGGTATCAATGTTCCTTGAGAGTCTGAGAAATCTCACAGTAACTCAAGCATTAAGAAGATACTTAAGATCTATTTGTTCTAGAGAAGGTGCTCCTAAGGAGGATGCTGAGAACCAGGTGAAAGAAGCCAATTCCAAACCAGCTGGGACTTGAACCTCTCCCCCGTAGGACTTCATGTGGCAGCAGCAGAAAGCTGGGCTCAGTCAGGCAGTGGATGCAGACTCCAGCTGTAGTAGACTCCTTTGAAATTGATCTTGATACAAGTGTCATTTTAGGGGACCTCGTCTGTATTCTGTATAATAGCAAAATTAAATTGTTTTGCTTGACCTCACTCAGTAGGAGAAAAAAAAAGTCATTGACAAAAATGGGGAGGTGTTCAGTTTAAATTAAAAACCTCCTGGTGGTTTATACTGACAAGGAGGATCCCAGAGCCTACTGCAAGGCAAGAGCAGTGGTTGTCCCCTCAGCCCTGACC